AATTTAACTTCTTGGCTATAGACACCTCTTTGAAATTCTCGTTTATGTCTCATATATATTTCAGCTAGAAGGTAAAGATGAGAAGCTGAGCACTATGTATTCACAAAGGATTCAACACTACAGCAGTGGCCTCACCTCCTCTCAGCAATGTGGTGATAACAGGCACATGGTTTGTACAGGCCGCTGCAGAAACACAAAAAGTACATCAACAGAGATACTTAAGTTACTTGTTTCATCGTTAAAAAATACTTTATATCACTCTGCAGTATATGTGTACTTTTCAAAAGGTGTGACCCTGTGAGCTGCACAGCTGTGCGTCGGAGTAAAACCACAGACAGATGCACGACTACACTGCTGCAGGTTTTACATGCCATCAGGGTGATGGTTCTCTTACCCAGATGCAGAGGGGTATTTCCCAGACTGTCTCGCTGGTTGGGGTCAGCGCCGTGGCTCAGCAACAATTGCACTTTTATTCACATGGGGGAAAAAAAGAAGGCCGGATAAATAAATTGATGGATGCAGTAATGTTATACCTTATTTTTCCTTGGTGATTACTTCTATTATTTATATAAAGGGTAAGCTGTAAAACAGAACAACAATCCTGCAGCATCATGTGTATGTTTTTCTGCTACTGTCCTTGCATCCATACAGCTGTCGACAACCTACCGATGCTCTCATTGCCATTGCAGGAAGAGAAATGAAGAGCTGTCCTTCCCTTGTCGTCTGCTGCACATGGGTCTATGTCGTCCTGCAGGAGTTTTCGAACTGCATGAACACAACTTGATTAAGCAAAACTCCCAAAAAGCCTTCTGTTACTGAGCTTGAATAAATTTACAGTATCACCTTCCTGCTTGTACCTGTGTCAATGTCATTGCTGTTCGCTGCTTCCCTCAGTCTTTTCACAGCTGTGGAGATAAGACATTCAAAGTGTATGTAAATATCAGTACTAGTCGGACTGGATCTCGTCATGGAAACAATGACAGCATTGACAGTATTGACCGTGACACTGGCTTTACACTATAAAGATAAATTAGTAGCACATACAACTACTGTATACTGCTCATCTGTGTACCACGTGCTTGTACAGAACATTCATACTGGAGTATATTATGATATGAATATTGAAATGTTTAAATGTTACACTCTCATATGTTGAATAACTTTACCTGTTCAGTTAGGTTCATTTCTATTAACATACTTTATGTCAAGCACTTAACATTATAGATCTTAGAATTAGAGAGATTATCATGCCTAACATTTTCAAATTGAGTGAAAGCACCATGATAAAAAGCGTACGTTGTGTAACATTCATAAAATGAAGTAGACAAGAGAACACATAAAAGTAGAAAAACAGTAATAAATAGGCAATAAAAAAACATTTAAATACATAATCGATGTACATAATACACACCTAGAGTATACAGTATGAATATGAGAATACAAATGTTGTGTACTGAATTGATGTAGTTTGTACTTTCTAAACTTTCACTGTCTCCATGACTTCAGAGGACATTACATTACCTGGAGATTTACTCTGAACTATAGTCACTACTTGTCTAACTTTAACCTAACTTTAACCTAACCTTACATTAACCTTACATTTACCTAACTTTAACCTAACTTAACATTAACCTCCTGAACCTAACTTTAACCTAACCTTACATTAACCTTACATTTACCTAACTTTAACCTAACNTTTACCTAACTTTAACCTAACTTAACATTAACCTCCTGAACCTAACTTTAACCTAACCTTACATTAACCTTACATTTACCTAACTTTAACCTAACCTTACATTAACCTAACTTTAACCTAACCTTACATTAACCTAACTTTAACCTAACCTTACATTAACCTAACTTTAACCTAACCTTACATTAACCTTACATTAACCTAACTTTAACCTAACCTTACATTTACCTAACTTTAACCTAACCTTACATTTACCTAACTTTAACCTAACGTTACATTAACCTAACTTTAACCTAACTTTAAAACCTGTCTTCACTTTAAAACGTAATGATCCACCCTCTCACCATACACATCTTTCCCGATGGGCCCCAGGCTCCTCGCGGCTCTGTGGTGTCTCCTGGCCCTGCTCCCCGTCATCTTCCCCAGCTTGGCGGCCCCTCCACCGGGGACACCGAGCTCAGCTCGCCCGGGCTCCCACAACAAGTGCAGGTACCTGAGTTCTTTATCGTCTCTCTGTCCGACTCGACCCAAAACCACTTTGCCCTCCCCGATGCCGCTCATCCCGAAGCCGACAGCGGCGGAGCCCCCGTCCTCCATCCTGTCCGCGGGGCCCCGCTGCTCCCGGTCCGGCGCCTCCCGGGATGCCTCTCCGGGTGCGGGCTCCACCATGTACTCCCCCTCGGAGCTGGACGGGTCATTGTCCGAGGCGGCTGCAACGACAGGGCTCCACCCGTCCATACTTCAGCGACACATACGGAGGCTGACTCTACGACAACACACGGTCCCCGCGGCTCCAGGAAGAAAACTCACCCGACATTAACGCGCTAACACCGGGCATCCATTCCGTTCACAACGTCTGGTGCAGCAGCAGCTTCTGGAGCCATTGTTCGGTCCGTCCTCACACAAACATCCCCCGTCACAGCGTCTCCATCCCGGGTGCAGAACTGTGTTTACACGGTTTCCTCCACGGAACCAAAATGTCTCCCTGTTTCACGTTTTCCCCATTTCATCAGGTGGAGGCAGTAACGCTCGCTCCCATTGGACGGTCCACCGCCTCCGTGCGCTGTCGACCAATCGGCGTCCGTCTTCTTCAACCGCTCCGGTCCAATGGGAGCGGTGCAAACTAGGCAGCCAATCAAATTGTCCGAGTGCAGAAAACAACTTAAATAAATTACTGAATATTTGTTTTGTCCTTTTTTTGTGATTATTTCCCAACTAATGCATTTTATTAATTAATTAATTAAATAAAATAAACATTTTAATTAGAATTAAACATCAGACAGTTTGTTTTCCCTCTTTAATATGTATTTATTCAGGTAATGTCACTTAAAATGTATAATGCATAATCGTTGTGTAACACCCACCCTCCACCTATATAGTTTCATACCATCTACATGTACATAAAGTGATAATGGCACATTAAAATATATATATTTGAGGAATACTGATAGGGGACAAGCACACCCTCTCACTGAGGAGCAGTGGTTTCCAGCCTGCAGGTCTGAGGCCACATGATATGTCTGAGGGAGTAAACACACATTCTGCTTATTTATATCAGATTCTCCTCCAATTTTAACTTTGTTCTTTTTGGTAAATTACAGGATGATTTTACTCATTCAGGTCCCTTAAAATATCAAAATAAAGCGAGGTAAAATCACTCTTTGGTTCAAATAGAAAAGTGGTGTAAATCTGGGTGATGACGGGTTGCAAGCAGAGAAGAATTGGGAACCAATAACCTGTGGGATGATAATCTGTGAAAAAGATTTGGTTTTGTGGAGGGAATGATTATTGATGCTGGAGGTAGAAAGTCTGAGGGGCACGTACAGCATCACAGGCTTTAACACGCTTTCGGTAAAACAATCAGAGGTCAAGTTTCAGTCCTGAAGACACAGAGGCTCCAGTATGTGCCAGGTAGTTAGGGAACGCTGGGTCGGCCCCCGACGTGCCTGCGTCCTGCTCGGCGGGCATCAAATCAGCGTTGTGTACGTGCTGCCACAGCCGACTGTTGTGAACGACACCCTGCTGCTTCAAGTATCCATGCTGACAGAACAGCGGCGGCTCGCGGTGGGTGAGGGTCGCACGGAAACATGATTCTAAAAGATGTGATGAAACAAGGGAATGAGTCACCGTCACCCTCGATATACTAGAAAAGCAGTAGATGAATACAACCCACTTCCCATTACTCTGTAAACAGAGGCAGCTGCTAACATGGTTTACCTGCATAGAAGGTCCTGAGGTCGGTCTGGACACAGTGCTCCAGGAAGCGCCGCAGGGGCTGGATGTGAGATATGGGACTGTCCCATTCTGCGAGGAAGTCTTCAACCATGTGATGAAGAGCCTTAGGCCTGGGCAGCGGCCAGCCACTGGGACGGAGCTTCATTTCTTCCTCTGGGATTAAAAAATACAAATTTGAAAGTGGCCTGCCAGTGTCTACTTTGGTATTTTGTGAAGTAATTTCAGTATATTCAAAACTTCATATCACTAAATTCTTTAAACCCAAGCTCAAAGGTTACTTAAGTCATTAAAGTAGTGATTTGTTCTACGAATTAATAAAATACAAAAATCGGGCATGTTTTATTTTCACAACACACACTGATTCAAAGGATTTCTCTCTCTATATATTATACATATAAACATTACTTT